CTTGGCTAATAAATAACTCCAAGCACGGGATTGGAACCTGGATCTTGGAAGTGGTTAACGCTTCTCTGAGGGAGGGTCGAGTGCCTGCCCCTTTAAAGGAGGCGGTAATACGACCGGTCCTGAAGAAAGCGTCACTGGATCCAGAGATGGCCACTAACTATAGACCTATGGCCAACATCCCGTTTCTGGGCAAGGTGTTGGAGCGAGTGGTGGCGGGACAACTCCAAGCACTCTTGGATGAAACTGATTATCTGGATCCTTTTCAGTCCGGCTTCAGACCTGGGTACAGTACTGAATCTCCCTTGGTCGCCCTGTACGATGACCTGTGCAGGGAGAAGGACAGGGGGAGTGCATCCCTGTTGGTTCTTCTGGACCTCTCGGCGGCTTTCGATACCATCGACCATGGTATCCTTCTGGATAGGCTAGTGGGATTGGGGGTTGGAGGCACTGCTTTGCAGTGGTTCCACTCCCATCTTGACGGTCGATTCCAGAAGGTAGTGCTGGGGGACTATGTCTCTGCGCCATGGCAGCTATGCCATGGAGTACCACAGGGCTCCATTCTATCCCCTCTGCTATTTAACATCTATATGAAACCGCTGGGAGAGGTCATCAGGAGGTGTGGGCTGCGGAATCATCAATACGCTGATGATACCCAGCTCTACCTCTCGTTTTCCACTAATCCAGGTGAGGCAGTGGCTGTGCTGAACCGGTGCTTAGCCGAGGTAATGGAATGGATGAGGGCCAATAAACTGAAACTCAATCCAGACAAGACGGAGGTCCTGTTGGTTGGCGGATCGGGCTTCGGAGAGGGTGGATTTGACCTGGTCCTGAATGGTGCAACACTCCCTCTTAGGGACAAGGTCCGCAGCTTAGGAGTACTCCTCGACCCGGAGCTTTCTTTGGAAGCTCAGGTGACAGCGGTGGCGAGGAGCGCCTTCCTTCAGCTTCGGCTGATTAATCAGCTGCGTCCCTACCTGGAGTACGACTGCCTGGCGACGGTGACACACGCGCTGGTAACTTCCCGCCTAGACTTCTGTAACGTGCTTTACATGGGGCTTCCCTTGAACACGGTCCGAACACTTCAATTGGTACAAAATAGAGCTGCCAGGTTGCTGACGGGGACGGGGCGTTATGCTCACATGACTCCAGTCCTCCGTCAGCTTCACTGGCTTCCCATTGAAGCCCAGGCCCAATTCAAGGTGTTGGTTATGACCTATAAAGCCCTAAACGGCTTGGGTCCTGGCTACCTGAACGAGCGCATACGTCCGTATATGCCCGACCGCCCCTTGAGATCTGCGGGAGAGTCCCTTCTCCGGGAACCCTCCATGAAAGAAATTAGGAGAGTAAGTACTCGGAGGAGGGCTTTCTCTGCGGTGGCACCCAACCTATGGAATTCACTCCCCAAAGAGGTCCGCCTGGCACCGTCGTTACTGGTTTTTCGGCGCCAGGTAAAGACCTTTTTATTTAAACATCATTTTAATTGTTAAAATATATGATCTGGCCAGGGCAACTTCTTCTTCCTTCTCTTTTCTCCTCCTATATTCTTTATTTACTTATTTTATACTGTTAATTTTAATTTTATATTATTGTATCTCAGTGTATTTTTTGTATTTTTGTATTTAGTGGTAATTTATTATGTTCTATTGTATTTCAATGTATCTTATTGTGTTGTAAGCCGCCCCGAGGCTTCGGCAAGGGGCGGCATAGAAATGTAATAATAATAATAATTATTATTATTATTATTATTATTATTATTATTATTATGCCTTTGCAGGTGGCAGAAAACTCTGGATTTGTAGCACAAATCATTGGCACAGGGTTAGAAATGATATGATAATGTTACTTTAGTTAATTAGACTATGAACTATGAACCCACATCTGATGGATCTGTACATCTTGGTGAGCAGTGATCCAAATTTTGGAATTTGTGGCACAAAACTTCAGCATATATTTGAAAGAGATAGCACAGTGCTATTTTGTGTGTTAGCCTACATTTGCTGTGTTAGCCTACACACTTAAGGGAAGTATCTCAAAACTTGGGATTTGTCGTGCAAAGCTTTAGCATATATTTGGAGATGATATTAGTTTTGGGTGTTCACAGATAACAGAACCTTTCAAAGTGGTCTACAGAATATGAAACAATAGACTGAATGAATTTGCAACACAAGGAATTCACCCTGTGAATAAACTATGCTGGATGAATTTGCAGTAAAACACAACTCATGTAACATCCCACAGTGTGCCCAAAATAAGAGTGGGCTTATTGTGGGTTGTTCTTTCCCTTGTTCTTTCCACCCCTGTCCTCTAGTCATAATGCCAGGCTCTTGTGGGTCAGAATCCATCTTGCCTCCCACTCCCTCTTCTGACTGTGACCCCACTTTCATTTGCAGATTCATTTATATATTTTAGAACCCCATATCACCACTACTAATAGCCATTCCACTGATGCCTAAGCTGCACTTAGGTTTCTTTCTCTTGGACTTGGGTAAGATGCAGTCAGTATGGTCTGGCTGAATGAGCCAAAGCAGGCTAACCATAGCAGCTGCTGAAAGCTGTTCTCAATTTAGCCTGTATGTGATCTCACCTCCTTATTGTTTGACAGGTATAATTGACAAGGTAAAATCAAAGCAAGACTGTATATGCTTTGAGAGGAGTAAGTGTACACTTGGCCAGCTTCGGGAAAAAAATTAGAAAAAAAAAGCAAAGACATCTGTGGAGACTTGTGCCACCCCAGTCCTTTTTGAAAAACAATGAGTCAGTGATGGTGGCGCCAATCTGACCCATGTCCAAGAGAAAGAAACCTCCCTTTTGCAACCAGTTAACCAAAAACCTCCCTGAAGCAACCTAACCTAAAGGCCAGGTCATTACAATGCAGATGCCTTTTCTGAATTCATCTCAAGGCCAAGCACTTCCAGTAAGCAAACCTATGGATCAGTAAACTGTCCAAGTGCCAAAACAATGAGGTATCTTCAAGAATCCATCTCAGAGTTGAGGAAGAGTAACAGTCAGCAGACAAACAACAAGAGATTCTCCTGGTATCACTATCCAGGGGGCAGGGAGTGAAGGATATATACTTCCAAGTTTGCTTTTTCCAGGACCAATGTGAAGACCAACTTTCCCAGGAAGTAGGGGAGCTTGATATATTCGTCAGAAGAGATTTGGTCAAAAATTCCTATGGTACAGGTGTGGGTTTGTATAATGGAGAGAAAAGACATGACATAAGCACCCAAAACATTCCACCCGAGACTGTGAGTGTTCAAAGAACCTGCTAGGCAGCTTAACACAGGGTTGTGCTAACCAGACTATATTTCTGTTTGTCATTCACTATTGAACTGCCTCTTTAAACAGCTTATTGGTTTGTACTCTGAAATTTTCAACCTCTTTTCTGAATCACTAATAAATCTTAAACACTGTTTTCACCCAAACTCGGACTGTATGCTTTTGGATGAAAAGCAGGAGGCTGACAAGGGGTGTGTCATGTTAACTGGTCATGCTACCACTGATTTAACAACCATTTGTGCACAACATGCTCAGCAAAATGTGTATCCTAGCTGTGCTCCTCTAAGGATCAACAAGACTTTAGAGCCCATCAAAGAGACCTCAGCAGGATCCTTGGCTAGTTATTCCCAAGGGGCTGAGAGGTCCTGGAGACGGAGGTGGTTTAGTTTACTTTACTCTGGGTAGTAGCAGCAAGTACCAGTTGCATGAGGCCTTGTACCTATGGCCAGGGTGTCAAGACACCACAGCTGCTGAGCTGTCAACTAGAACACTTTGACAAACAGGAAAGAAACTGCAAAGTAACAGTACAAGAATGGAAGTACGCTGCAGATCATTATCAGAAAATTCTGAATCACAATTTTCCCTTCTATTAGCTTCCCAGCCATGAAATCTTCATATATTTCATCTCACTTATTGCCCAGCTGCAATCTGCATATATTTTCCAGTTTAAAAACACACTTTCCAGTTTTTTTGAAATCCTTAGAGACTGCAAAATGAAACATACAAGATGTACATGGTGATGCACCACCCCCCACTATATGTGGCTACATTCACTCCATCCCACCCAGTAGCCTGTCAAGGGAACTGCACTAATTATCCCTTCAAAAGAGTGGCTTTAAGATTCCCCTTTTCTGTACTACTGAAAACTCATGAAGCATCCCAAAGAGGAGGGCTGTGAGAACTGTCAGTGCAACACTTCCTAAGGAGGAGATCTACAGTGAACCCCATCTTGGTGCACATACATTCAGCTTCTGTCTTGTTCCCTGGTGCATTCCAAGTGACAGCTAGGCAAGTGACAGCTGCTGGCAATTTAACCTCTACGAGTCTCGCCTTGTTGTTCTCTTATCAATTGACAGCTATAACTGACAAAGTGATAGACCAGGCAGGACTATATGTTTAACAGCTTGGACAGGGCTGAAAGACTGACAAAAATGAGTCAAAAATAAAATAAAGTAAAATAAAAATTTTAAAAAGGGAAACCATGTGATGGGGCTGTCAATGGCAGCGGCACAGACATGCTCACATAGAATCTCAGGGTTTTTATTGTCAATGCATCACGGACTGAAATACAAGTCATGAGCTGTCAGAATGGCTCATTGCCAAAAACTAAACCACCCTGTGGGAAGCAGTCTGAGTTTGGACAAGGTGGCAATCCACTATGGTTAGTTACCCATAATGGGTTATCATATTATACAAACCTAATTACTCCCAAATATGATTCATATAGTACAACTAAAGAACATAACAATATTTAAAATGTTCATTCAAATTAAACATCCAAAATGAAACTCCATGTTTAAAGATAGGATATCGCTGAGTTACAAACAGCATCTGACTGTCTCCTGCTGGTAACAGAAAGGTGTAATAGGTGGCATCTTGCTTAGCTTTAGCGTGGCCATTCTTATACTCTTGACACAAGAATAATAAAAAATCTGACATTACCATGGACATGTTCTAAATATTAAATCAAAGAAATACGTCACAAAGGAAACAAATCATACCTGATCGAAAACATTCAATAATTTGTTGAATGCCAGATTTTGATGTCTGAAGAGGCTGCTGCAATAAAGGAGGATCCCCAGGCTCCAGTACATGTACTAGAAAATATGTATAACAAGCAATAAGACCAATGTAAGGAAAATTACTATGGAAATAGTAATGGTTGTAAGACTGTACACACTCATAGCAGTTCTATGAAAAGGCTCCAATGTGCCGCTGAACCTATGGTCTAGAAGCCATTAATGTACAGTGGTACCTCGGCTCATGAACGCCTCAATTCACAATCAAATCGGGTCGCGAACAGAAATTTCAGAAAAATTTTGCCTCAGGTCGCAAACTCCACATTGGGTGAGGACCATGATAGCGGCCATGTTGCCACACGAACACGACCACGATCACGCCTGTCTTCCCTGCATGAGCGCAACCACGATTGCGCCCATCTTCCCTGCATGACTGTGCTTGGGGGGCTGGGGAGATGGCTACAATCGTGCTGGGTGGGGAGATGGCCGTGATCTTTGTTGTTCTTTGTTATTGTCACTTTGTTTCAAGTTTTTGCAATTTTTTAAAAAAATGGTTACAGAACAGATTAACCTTACTTACATTGAACCTTATGGGGGAATTTGACTTGGCTCATGACCAATTTGGGTTGCGGCCAGAGTCGTGGAATGGATTAGGTTCATGAGCCAAAGTACTACTGTACATCAAGTATCTTTTGAGCTCCAGCTTCAGCACAATTACACTATTTGCAACTGATCAACTTAATCTCAAAAAAGTACACAGACACACTACACAGCTAGGCTAACATGGCTAATTTACTATTGGAAATAACAGTTCCATGTGTTCAGTTCTGCAAAACATAAATGCATGTTTAGGCAGGAAAATCCCCAGTAACTGCCAACATCTCACAGTCAGCATGGTTGGGAAATACTTTTTTCTGTCTAAATATATGAGTCTGTTCTATATGTAGTACTGCATCTTTAATATATCATCTGATGAATTTATAATGAATTAATTGAATTTAGTCAATTAAAAGCTTTATTAAATCTATTATGGTAACCAGTTAAATTCTCACTCTTATGCTACATAATCCGGGTATAATCTGGTTTGAGGGAGAGTCCCCCTCCATAAGGACATTGGGGAGATCTCTTTCAGGGGTTTCCTCTCCTCTTTGTCTCTTAGATGCAGGGTCAACTTTGGTGAATAATCTGTCTATAGTCAGTTGTTTTTTCCTGCACTGCATAACCCTCCGGAAGTAAGAGACCATGTTATCATTCATGATTCAACACTGTTTGTTACAATTATGTTGGGGTGGCACTTCTCAAAGAAATCCTGGCACTCATTCCATTTTTCCATTATGGATTGTATCACATCACTGCTAACCTCCTCCCTGTCTTCCTCTTCCTCAGTGCAATCCTCCTCAGCAAGTGCCTTCCGCTGCTCACTCTGGAGTTCAGCAAGTTCTTCTGTCATCAGCTCCTCTATGTCTTCCCTGCACGAACGCAACTGCAATCGTGGCCATCTCCCCACTCGGGGGTGGGGGAGATGGCCGTTATCGTGCTGACTGGGGGAGAGATGGCTGAGATTGCACCCATCTTTCCTGCAGGAGCGTGCCTGTGATCACACATGTCTTCCCTGCATGAACACAACTGCACTCGGGGGGTTGGGGAGATGGCCGCAATCTTGGTTGCCACCCAATGTGGAGTTCGTGACCCAAGTCAAAATTTTCATGAAATTTTTGTTCATGACCTGATTTGGTTGTGAACCAAGGCGTTTGTGAGCCAAGGCACCACTATATATAAAATAATGATTTTGTGCAGTATGCAAGATTTTTTGCAAGGTAGGCAATCTCATCCTTAACTGTGCACAGGATTGCATTTAGCTTACTCACAGTGCAATCCATTATTGTTTTGACATTTTGGTAGGAAAAGGAACACCTGATTTTTGCAATAGCAGTCTTCCTTAGATTCTCAATATGACAACTTCAAGGGCCACTTTTAGACTGCAAGCCTGAGGACAGTGATTGTTTTTAGAAAGCCAAAAAAGAAGGCATTATTGATGTATAAAATGCTCTGCATCTTTTCAACTGAACAGTGAAATAAAAGTCTTTAAATAACTAAAATGTCTTTTCAGAAGCAAGCCCCAATGAGTTTAATTTTATTCCATGTTTATACTTCTCAGGTAAGTAGATGCAGGATAATCTTAGGCTGTAATCCTGTGCATACCTTCCTGTGATTACATTTCCTGTTTTTTTAAAATATCTCCTTTCTGTGGCTGCTCCATTTTTACCAGAACACACTTTCTAACCCTGAATTTTTATTTTCCTTTAAACCATATTTAAATATATTTCTTATAAGTCCTTCTTTAGTTCCAGTAAAAGTTGAAAAATGATTGTTTTCAATATATATATTTCTAATTATATTTTCTTAAACAAAGTATACAGGAATATACAAGACAGTGTTCTACTCACTCCTTGTTTCATGAGTTTTTAGGCTGAAACACATTTTTGGTCAGGTCATATGTATTACAGTGAGAGACCAGATTGCTTATACACAAATATTTGTTTCACACATGGCAAAAATAGCATTTCCAAAATGCTTATCTTCACAAATCCTACTTAACCATCAACCCTGATTAATTCCATGCACAAGAAGGCAACACAGACTTCATGGCATAGTATATTCAGTCGTGGCGTACCCAATTTATTTATTTTAGGATTGGTGGGGTTTTAATGTTTGTAAACCACCCAGAGAGCCCTCTGGGCTATTGGGGTGGTATATAAAAGCAATAAATAAAATAAATAAACATTCCACAGACGTTTTTAAAAAATTGCACTCCCTGAAACAATTTTATGTACCAGTTCTGCTTTTCAGTCAACCCTTTTAGAATAAAGTAGAAAACTTGGTATTTGAAGTCATCCAAATTCTATCACAGCTACATAATCTTTGCTCTTCATTTCTGAAAACTTCAAAAGAAAGCTTTCTAATGCTAAAGATGAAGAAACAGTATTACCTGGTTCACAACATCCATGGTGATGGTGGTCAGTCTGACAACACTTGTCCCTTAAAGGCATTTTCTACATCAATGACCCACTTTCCTTCTGCATCCAGTAGCTTGTCTCTGCTAAAATATAAAGGAATATAAGGTTTTGTAGTTCTACATGATATATCTGTAACATCATTGATCTCAAAGTCAGTGAATTTTGAGCAAGTACAAGAATTAAGTCTTCTTTGTTGAAGAATCTGACTTTTTAAATAAGCTTTTCTAGATGGTTTTGGTTGTTCCCAAAGCTATTTGGAAAGTAGCTTTTCTCATTGCTGAGTCAGCCTGCCCTATTAGAAAAACAATAATATTTATTTATTTAATTTAAACCATTTTTATGCCGCCCCATTCACAAAAAGCCTCGGGGTGGCTTACAACAATAACAAACAAACAGTTTATACAATTAGAGTTAAAAAAACCAGAAACATCTTGGCATGTACATAAAAACCCCATAAATACAATTCATGAATTAACAATTAAAATAACTTTTAAAAAAAAGGTCTTGGCCTGGCGCTGAAAAACAAATAATGACAGCGCCAGGCAGACCTCGCTGGGGACCGCATTCCATAGGTGGGGCGCCACCACAGAGAAGGTCCTCCTCTGGGTACTCACCCTCCTAATATCTTTCACGGAGGGTTCCCGGAGAAGGGTCTCTGCTGCCAATCTCAAGGGGCAGGAGGGCATATATGGACGCAAGCGTTCCTTTAGATAACCAGGTCCCAAGCCATTGAGGGCTTTATAGGTGAAACCCAACACCTTGAATTGGGCCCAGACTTCAATGGGGAGCCAGTGAAGCTGACAGAGAACTGGGGTTATATGAGAACAACGCCTAGTCCCCGTCAGCAACCTGGCAGCTCTGTTTTGCACCAATTGAAGTATCCTGACCGTCTTCAAGGGTAGCCCCACATAGAGCGCGTTACAGAAGTCTAATCGGGAAGTTATCAAGTTGTCACTGTCGCCAGGCAATCGTTCTCCAGGTAGGGACGCAGCTGATGGATCAGCTGAAGCTGAAGGAAAGCGCTCCTCGCCACCACCACAACCCGAGCTTCTAAAGACAGCTCTGGGTCGAGGAGCACTCCCAAGCTGTGGACCTTGTCCTTCAGAGGGAGTGCAACCCCATTCAGGACAAGGTCAAGGTTCCCTTCCCCAAAGCCCAAACCGCCTACCAACAAGACCTCCATCTTGTTTGGACTGAGCTTCAGTTTATTGGCCCTCATCCAGCCCATTACCTCGGCCAGGCACCAGTTCAGTACAGCCACTGCATCAGCTGGATTCGTTGAAAACGAGATGTAGAGCTGGGTATCATCAGCATAATGATCATTCTGCAGCCCACACCTCCTAATTTATTTATTTATTTAAAACATTTCTATGCCGCCCCCATCGCAACAAAGCCTCGGGGCAGCTCACAAAGAATACATAAATACATACATAAATAATGATAATATAACAATTTAAAATATTGTTTAAAAACCCCTGGTGCATTCTCAGTTAAAAATTTTAAAATCCTAATTAATTCAATAATTTAACAATTAAAATAAGTTTTAAATAAAAAGGTCTTAGCCTGGCGCTGAAAAACAAATAACGATGGCATCAGGCGGACCTCTCTGGGGAGCGCATTCCATAGATGGGGCACCACCACAGAGAAAGCCCTCCTCCAGGTAGTCACCCTCCTAATATCATTCACAGAGGGTTTCCGGAGAAGGGCATCTGTTGCTGATCTCAAGGGGCGGAAGGGCATATATGGACCTCTCCCAGCGGTTTCATGTAGATGTTGAATAGCAAGGGGGACAAAATGGACCCCTGCGGAACTCCATGGCATAACTACCATGGTGCAGAGCCATAGTCCCCCAGCACCACCTTCTGAAATCGGCCATTAAGATAGGGGCGGAACCACCGCAGAGCAGTGCCTCCAACTCCCAATCCCACTAGCCTATCCAGAAGGATACCATGGTCGATGGTATCAAAAGCCGCTGAGAGGTCCAGGAGAACCAACAGGGACACACTCCCCGTCTCTCTCCCTGCACAGGTCAGGGCAACCAAGGCAGTACCATACCTGGGTCTGAAGCCGGACTGAAATGGGTCCAGATAATCAGTTTCATCCAAGAGTGCTTGGAGTTGTCCCGCCACCACCTGCTCTAACATCTTGCCCAAGAACGGGATGTTGCCCACCGGTCTATAATTGGTGGCCATCTCTGGATCCAGGGATGCCTTCTTTAGGACTGACCGGACTACCGCCTCCTTTAAAGGGGCAGGTACCCAGCCGTCCCTTAGAGAGGCGTTGACAACCTCCAGGATCCAGGTCCCTATCCCGTCCTTGGCTTTCTTGAGTAGCCAAGATGGGCAAGGGTCCAGTAAGCAGGTGGTAGGACGTACTTGTCCAAGCACCTTGTCCACATCATCACACCGCAGCAACTGAAATTCATCCATCAATTGTGGACCAGATGGCAACATTGGCACCTCCCCGAAGGTTCTGAGTAACTAGTGGAGTCCAGCTCGTGAAGAATCTGAGCGATTTTCTCCTTGAAATGCTTGGTGAAGTCGTCACAGCGAGCCGTCGAGGGTGGCACAAGATCTTTTTTTGGGGCCTGGATGAACCAGCCCCTGTACCACCTGAAAGAGCTCCACCAGATGGCATTGTGAGGAGGCAATGGAAGCGGAGAAGAATTTCCCCTCACCGCCATAGCATAGGCCCGATAATGGGCTCTTAAGTGTGTTCGGTCAGATTCATCCTGTGATTTTCTCCACTGCAGGAGCAGGGCCCCTGGATGGTGGTCCACTAAAAGAAATATGCTTCAGAAGGACAATTAAGAGAAAAGATCTCCTCAAACAAGAGGAGGATCATGGGAAGAACACGATCTGAGCATATAATCACTGTTCCTCCATCACCCAAGCATTTCCTTCAATCAAAATGGAGGAAAAGAGAGATAGGAAGGTCAACTGAAAAAAATTAGAAATGCCATACATAGTGTAAACAATTGCATACCAAAATGACTCTTCCAATCCCATGCTTTTATACACCTAAACCTAAAGATTCTCAAACATCATCTTTAAAATTACATTTATCAGCCACAATGCTTATGCCACTGGTTTTCTTTGCATCTGTGCACTTCTGGCTACACATGCAACACACTGCAAAATTTAATGATGTGGTTCCTAATGTTACAGTTTCAACTGTTGAGTGATGCATTCTTTTCTGGGAAAAGTAGCTCTGGAATTTTTTCCAGAAAGTTTCCCAGTGCTTTGAATGTTATGTGTTTTACCAAGTTTGTTTCACTAAATTTTCCCTCCCAACACACACACTGCTTCAATATATTAAAAATATCTCATAGTAAACAGAACTGAAAATGCAGTCTATTTCAGTTGTATGTTCTGTGTAACACATCAAAAGTTTTCCTAATAGCTACAAAAATCTTTGAACTGAACTACTTGCTTTATAGGGAAATTAAATTAAGCTCACCATATAGAATAAATATGCATATATTTATCATAATATATGTATTCATATATTTATATCAAATACATTCAAAGTTTTATATGGCAATTACAGGAACATTTTAAAACAAGAATACACTTCTTTATGATGGAACTTGAGCAGGAGGATACAGTTCCACTCATGCCCTGCCTCTGGAATCGCATGGGGAACTGACCGGCCAATATGTGAGCAAGTACTGGTCTAGAATAGACTCTTGGTCTGATCCAGCTCAGTTCTGCTTATGTTCTTAAGTGCAACAACCAGTAATCAAAGTGTGAGTTTCAGTTTCAGTTTTTCTTCAGTTTGTTATTGAAGAATGCTTGCAGTAGAGGGCAAATACATCATTTATAAGTCAGGACCAGACCCATCCAGAAGCCAACAACACTGTGCGCAGAAAGTGATTCTTATATATTATTTTTAGTTCCCCATGGGCAACTGAGTACCAAGGCTTGCCCATGTTTGCTCTAGAAGAATAACTTATAGAAGTTCATATCCTATATTTAGCTCATCCAACATGATGGACTGCAGTGCAACAGTCCAGACAACTATGCAGACATATACTCCATGAAAGGAGGATACTCCATGAAAAAATATGAACATTTTCCAGAAAAATCATGGTCCAACACTGTTGCATATCACTTCCTTTTCAATATAGGTGTCCCCACAACCACAACTTTCATAAACTTGTTCTAAACTTCTAACATGTAACACTACACAACTGATGGACTGGTAAGTCTGACAGAGAAGGAAGAGTGAAATTGTAAATGATTTAATTGTGAATGAATGAATATATATATATATATATATATATATATATGCTGAATTCTATACCAATACATCTATGGCTATCTCATAAATTTATACCATAACCATCAAGCAGCATAATGAGTTGAAAGGCTTGGAGATGTGAGGTCTATCACTTGTGTGTTGGACCCTTACCCTTCCTGTCTTATAAAATAAGCCAGGACATGGGGTTAGTGGATTAGTGTCTGATCCATTTATGGTGAACACCTCTCTACAGGCAAGGTTCTCTCATGGCTGTAGGCCTTCCTTAAAGGGGCAATCTCAGAAGGTGAATCCTAGAAATGTCTGAACTGGCCTCAGTCACATACACCTTTACTATAGCTCCTTTTGGCTCCTGTTAATGTGCTATACATGGGGCTGCCTTCCAAAACTGTTCAGAAACTTCAACTGGTCCAGAGTGTTGCAGCCACTGTTGACCAGAGCTGCTTAGAGGGAGCAAATACCTCCTTCCTCTGGCTACCAGTTCACTGGCTACCAGTTTGCTCCCAGAAATAATACAAAAGTGAGCTTATGATCTATCAAACACTATTCAGATTGGGACCTGGCTATCTGAAAGAACACCTGCTCTCATAAGCCTGTCCAGTCCTTAAGATCTTCCACAGATACCCTTCTTTTGAAACTGCTACCATCAGATATGTTTGGTGGCAATGAGAGGGCCTTTTCAGTGGCTGCTTCCAAGTGACTTTTCAGTGGCTTTACTCCCTCACAAAACAGGCTAGATTTGCACCATCTCTATTATCCTTCCAAGAGCAGACAAAACTCACTTTATTCAAAAAAGGCCTTTGGCCTACATGTACATTTGCTGCTTAAAAGCTTTTATTCTGAAATAGTCACATTTTTAGTTTATTATCTGTGTTATTGTTTTAAACCATATTAAATTGTTTGGTAAGTTACTATCAGTGCCATTTTGGTAGAATGATAAGGTATAAATCAAATACATAAATAGTAAAGTCTGCTTTGTATTTAAAAAATACTAAGGAGAGAGATACCTAACCTCTGAGGATAAACATTAAGTTGTACAAAGTAAGTCTTGTGTGTTCAAGTTTCCCACTAGACCAAAAGCTAGCAAGTCATCATCATTGCTGGGATTCTTTCCAGATATTCCAAAGATTACCTGTGTAATCTATATAGGTGTTCTTGAACTCCAACTTCTAAATTCCTGATATCAGTGTTTTATTCCTGAATATTATTCATTTTATTGTTCAATACCAATGTTCTTGAATTATGACTATTCATGACCCCAAAGATTTCAAACAGCAAGGACATACACTTTCAATTCCATGGATAAACACTATATTGTTCAGTAATTGTCAACTCTTCCTCATGAAAAGTTCTAGATTTACTCTGTGCACAATTACTGTCAAGTTTCACTTTTCTCACTTATTCTCCTACTCAGAAATGCAGACTTCAAACAGAAACCAGTTTCTCATTTTCAAGAAAATAAAATTATGCGGGCTGCATGATTGAAAGAGCGTAACACAAACCTTCACTTGTATAAACTAGACTCTGTCAGTTGCAACCGGATATATCTTCATCAGTATAGCAACCATTAAGCATTTATGCTTGTTCAGGAGATATTTCAGAATAGGAAACTTGATTTAAGTCACTGATATAATCAGACTTTTCATGGTGTTTTAATAGCCTTGCTCTAACACAAACTTGCCCTGAAACCACCTACTTCCATTTACTGGAAATCCCACACACATCCTACCATGTCTTTTTGCACCCAAATATGCTACATCTCAGAACACCTATTGCTACCACCAATCATACATGCTGCCTCCCATGTATCCAGTCACAGACCTGGACTTTTACAAAAATAAGTGCAATGATCACAACCAAAAGTTTTTTCAAGCCTCATGACACCTTAGGAAGATAAGAAGCTGTTTTATACTGAATCAGAGCATTGGGGTATCTCTGTCAATCTTGTTGACACTGATGGCCACTGGTTCTCCAGGGTTTCAGGCAGGAGTACTCTACTCAGAAATGCCAGAGATTGAACATGGGACCTTCTGCATGCAAAGCATATGCACTACCACTGAGCTACAGTCCTTCACTTAACTTCCTTCAAATATCACCAGAAAAATCTTGCATATTCAACTTAATGTTCTTCCTTATATACAAGACACACTGATACTACTTAAAATCAGCATCTTCAGGACTCAGTCTCCAGAGCTCCTTTGTAGTGGTGGAACTCATTCTCCTCCTAACAGTGTGAAGACAGATGGGTATACCTGATTGTGCAGAATGTGTTTGCAAACTCAGCCCTCTCTTACCTGAGGACTGGATCTAAGCGTTCCTCAAACCAAAGTACTTAATATATCCTCCCTTTCACAGGAAACTAAGGATCAAGCACTGGAGGCCCAAGATCCACATCTACCGCACTGAAAAGTGCCACCAGACTCTCTGATTGTCACTCTAACCTAAGACAAAAGAGCTGTTTAGAAGAGTGCCCCCGTGACAAGAGGCTTTGCAGACCATAGGCAACCATAATGAGAGACGACGGAAACGATAAGCTCCCTTCGCCAAACATCCCCGGAGAAAAACAGTGGTTGATCCAAGCCATGTGCTCACCCACCACGACAACTCAGCAGAGCACCCTGGCACCTTCCGTCCCATCGCTGCATTTCACACCCGTCATGCATTCCTCCACGGAATCCGGAGGCCACATTCCAAAACAACGCACGAAACACCACTAACACAAACGCGCGCGCGCAACGCTTCTCCCACGGCTCAGCCCTCTGCACCCACGTAGCCTTGGCGCATCCCCGCGGGTGGCCAGGCAAGCCCTCGCCTCGCGCTCCCATCTGGGGCCACCTGTCACACCACCAGCCCGCCGCGCGCAACGCAACGCAGCGCAGCGCAGCCCGCCGCGCGCACGGCCACAGACACAAAGTCTCCGCGCTCAGCCGCAGCCTCCGCAGCAGGAGCCGCCGCCGCCCGCCGCCCGCCGCCGCCGAGGGGGAGGGGGAAGGGGAGGCTGCGTGAGATGAAGGGCGGCGGAGTGGCTGTCTCGCCGCTCGCCTGTCTGAAGAAGTTCCAGCGGCACCGCACTTACGGAGGCTCCTGGAAAACGGCGCGGCCGCCAGCTCAGCCGCCGAGTCCCTGAGCGGCTGAGGCGGCGGCGGCGGCGGAGGACGGTTAGCCCGCCGAGCAGGTCCGCTTCGCCGGCGGTGGGAACCTGGCTGCGGCGGTCTGTCTGGCTGGATGGCAGTGCGCGCGGGAGGGAAGGAGGAAAAGACGCCACCCGCGCCGCGTCTGTCCCTGCGCCTGGATGTCCGGGTGGCGGCGGCAGGTGACAGCGGGCGCGAGGCGAGCCCTCTCCGAGGCAGCCGCGTAGACCTCAACCTCCGCCGAGGAGGCGGCGGGGGAAGGAAGGCGCTCTCACCGCGTCCCGACTGAAACTTGCCGTCGCCTGTCCCGCCCAAGCGGCCGCACGACGCGACCCCGGAGCCGGATGGGCGCAAGGGCAGGAAGTGACTGCGGCCGCGGCAGGGCCGGGGCAGCGCACCACGCATGCGCCGCACCCGGCTTCTCTCGCTCGGCAGCCCTCTCCCCCTCCGCTTTTCGCTCACTCGCCCTCCTCCCGCGGAGCCTAGCGCACAGGTGCCTCTCGCTGCCGCCGGATACTTTATTCCCTCCCGCGCAATGGAAAGTTGGTTTGGGAATGGGAAGGCGGGCGGGGGGGAGACGAGCGAGCGAACGAGGAAGAGCGCGGGCGCGCGCACCGCTTGATTCTTCCACGTGCGCCTCAGCCAATCAGAGCAAGGCACCGCGCGACCTGCCCGGGCTTTCTTTTTAATTTTTTTCCCTTGCAGGAGGCGGGTAGCGCTTCTTACCTTCCCCTGGTTCTTCAGGGCGACTGAGAAGTTGTCGCGCATGGCAGGACTGGCACGAAGCGTCTCCGTCGCCCTAAAAGAGCAGCGGTGCTCATCGGAGACTGGCTGCGAGGACGTACAAGTGAGGCGCAGCTTGGCAGCTTCGACGTGTGCAATCCAGCGACCCGATTCGTTGCGCCGTTGCAGCGGCATGCGGTGCAGAGCCGGGCGCGCGAAGGAGCCGTTTCCATCCGCGAGAGCACGCGCTGGAGAAGCAGAAAGATCTTCACGCGTTCCTTTGCACCGGGCGCTCTTTTTTCCGAGATGAGGAATCCGGGACGGCTCCACCAAGCAGTGGCATTCCGCGGTTGTGCTATTGAGTCTTGACCCCATGGAGAGCTTGCGGGTGCTGGTGCTTCCCAAGTGCTGGGTCGCGTTCGGGATACGAGGCTCTCACGGTCCGATTTGCCTTGATTCTGCAGCTCGCCCAACCATTTTCCCCTTCGTCTGTTGCCCCGGACGATCTTAAAAACAAAGAAAAATAAAGTTCGGCTAGTCGTTCTGCCAAGGGATCGTACATCGGCAAATAGAGGAAAAATCGCACGATGCATTTGAAGAATCTGGTTTTTTTCCCATAAAAAAGGTTATCATAATTAGACTTGTATGCTCTCAAAGAGCAGTCTCTGATAAAATATGGACCTACGCAAGAGGACTGGGATAACCTTCAGAAAAGGCGACTTCAGGCTTACATAGAAACAGAATGGATGGTGCATATTAAGCAAATGTATTCATTTTTACTAAAATTGCATACCAGGTTGCAATATTCCTTTTTCCAGCAGAAATTTGATTGAAAAACCCATGCACTAGATTAGATTCTGCCCTGCTTATACCTTGAAAGATAGGACAAAGGCCCTTTAAGGGGCTTGCCTTCCCTTTGCAAAAAGGGTCAGACCTTCAGGAGATAAGAAAATATCGATAAATGTCCTTAAATGGTGATTCCCCTCTCCAGAGCATCCTGGGTAAACTAGAGAAGGAAAGGAATTAGTCTGCCAAAGCATGGGAGGATGAAACATCTCATTCCTGATGGTTTCTTCTCCTTGATAAAAAGGTTAGCATGAGAAAGTGTGGAGATGCCCTTTTTTATTATGTCTCCTAAAGTCACCATCAAGCCTTTAGGGGGGGAAATGGCCTTAGTATTGTTCCTTGGCACAGTTCCCTTGACTTTTAGAACCTTTTTCACTATATTTTTAGTGTCAGTTCCTATGTTTTCAGTGCTCAAGAATGTAAACAAAATGGGAAAGATTGTTTGCTTTTAAAACAAGTTTCTCTGGTATCCAGGTGTTTTAGACTTCAGCTTCCAACAGAATGGGATCATTGCCATGGCCAGTGATCAGTTATGCTGTGAACGGCGCCCAAAACATCTGGAGGCTACCAGGTCGGGAAAGGCTGTTTGAAATCTGGCTGGGGCTTTCTATCAACTGGACTGAACACTTTTTTCAACCCGGCCTGGACACTACAAAGCTTCACATAAGACATTTTTCTAATTGGAATGGCTTCCTTTGTCATTAATTACTCCTTTTGGCTAAAACCTTTCCTTAGTTGCATGACTAAGCAGAAAGACATGTGTATTATGCATTATTCAGGCGTAAGTGTTCCTAACTCAGTAGGATTTAACCTCTAGGAAATGTTTGCAGAATGTCAGTCTTCCTTAAATACCACTGAAATCAGTGGACTTTAATTCAGAATAAACATGATCAGGGTTAATATGCCACATGTCAAGGAGTGCATAGCTGGCAGGTGCTTGAACATGCTTAAGGTTCCAGGTCCCATCCTTGACCTCCAGTTAAGAGGTTTGGGTAGGGAATGAAGAGGACCTCTGTCTGGGCCTGTAATGTGCAGATGCCTGGCAGAAGTTAGCTGTAAGATAACCTGACAAATAGTCCAGCCTGGGATAAGGTAGCCTCTAATGTCTTCATTTCATTTCCACATTGCACAAGGACCCACAATGCAAAAAAGTGGAAGAAGGAGACGACGAAGACAAAGAAAAGAGGAAACCTAGAAGAGATACTGAACTTTGTGAATGGAGTACTGCATTTAAGCTAGCTTTTCAGTCCACCCTATCATTCACCTGGTGCTTTCTCTTCCCTCTTCCATACATTTATGGGAACATCCCATCCTGCCCTTCTACACCAATTTCACCTGCAAAGATTTTGTGTACCTGATTTACAATTAAATTCAGTTTAAAAGCAATCTCAGGTGCATATTCTTGTTGCAAAGGACAAAACAACTTAATTTCAATGTCTAAACTCATTTTGGGGTTGAAGAATCATCAGTAAGAGAAAGAAAGAAGGTTGGGCCACCTCGCTTTTTTTGCCAACTGACTAGATGGGGGAAGGATTTCATGATAAATACACTGAGAGACTGCATGGCAAAGGCTGCATTGCCTTTGTCTAATGTCAGTTCTTAACCTCCCAGATTATACTTGAGAATTTAAGGGTCAAGCTTCATGTTTTGTAAAAAAGCATATTTTTGTAAACTTTGTTCTTTTAATTTTGGTATTTTATACAATGTTAATATTCAAACTGATGTAATTATATTCTTAATTTTTTCGTATTTTATTCATGTTTTAATTGTAATATTATAAGCCACCCTGAGTCTCAATACTGGTAATAGACAGAATATAAATATAATAAAAATGTGCAGTATGAGGAGGACAATAATTGGGATTAGGATAATAGCAAAGATGGGATTTTAAACTTTTCCTCCCAACCATCGTAAAAATATAAATTCCATGACCAAAAGCTGCTCTGCACCAGAAGAAAGTTTCCAATTATACTAATGACAATTTGTATAAATGGAATTTCCCTTCAGTTCAAACAGCAGCCAAATAGGAGCACATTTTGTTATGAATACAGCATAGCCAAAGGATTTGTTTAAAAGTCCCCTCATCACTGTCTCCGTTCCCCCCAAGCCAGGCTGTTATGTCTTTAGTGCAGTAACATACGGTTTGCCACATACACTTTTGTGGCAGTCAACACCACTGAATGCAATGTGGCAGAGTGAAATGATGTGGGATCAGGCTGCATTCAGCTTCATTTATAAACCATACAATGTCTCCAACCAAATTTAGTTGTGCTCCTGACCCACTGAAAATAATAGAACTTAAATAAAGCACCAGTAACCAGTTTTGTTGCTTTCTACAGGAGAACATACTTCCTAAGTATGCATATTCAGAAGTAAAAACCTACTGACATCAATGGGGCTATTGCCCATGAAAGTGTGTTTTGCTGGATAGCAGTCAGTATGCATGATCCTTTGCCACACTTAATATTCATTCATCAAGTATCTATGATCTTTTTTGACTGACACAGGTCTTTTTGTGGCCAAAGTGTGTTAGCTTGATTCGTATGCCCACAGCCAAGATGCTGATCTTTCTTCACCTCACTGGTAACAATGATTTCCAGCATAATCTGATGCATGTCTATGTCAGCTATTAAATATGTGCGTGCTGGACGACAGTCTTTTTAATTTTAAAGAAAAAGAACACTTTGGAATTCTGTTTCATGCTGTAATGACTGCTAACTGCACAAACACACAGTTGACTTTTGCTACTGTCATGACCTCACATCCCACCATTTGCAAACAGGGTCATTCCAGGCCACAATAATTAGAGCAACCTAGGTTGAAGAAGGCCATGAAGATTAGACGTAACTGCAAATCAAAAGCTAACAGTGTTGTCCTTATACACAGCCCTTGGGTCCTACAAAGTTGCTTCAGTGAGAGAGTCACTCATCATCCTGATCAGTGGCTTCTCAGTTCAGTTTATCTTTTGCTCCAGATTTACCATTAGATCATATCGGGCTGGGCAGCAATAGCAGAGGAGTGGACT